GAAATCTGTAATTCTTAATTGTGCTGAATCCTAATGCTCTCATCTAAGGGCCTTGGAATTTTGACGGAGGATCAGCAGGCATGGCGCAGATAACAACAGTAAAACACAATGCATTAGGCCTAACCGGCAGATCAATGGTCTGCCACGCCGTTCCTCTCACTTCCCTCCAGACTCCTTCCTCCTGCGATGCTGGCAAGAAAAAGTCATTGAAAAATCCCCCTTGTTTAGCCCATCTATTTTTCCTATGAGATGGCTGCTTGCTTATGTGAAAGGCCAAGACTCAAGCATGGCTGGAGTGGTATAAAGACAACAGGGGACAAACATGGGATTGCTGGCGGATGGAGGAAGGTCTCTTGGACATGCAGCCGTTCCCTCCAATTCTTCACCTTACCCCTTGCAAACAGACGAGCTTCCCAAACTACCAGGTCTGCACCTTCGTTAACTCACTTGTTTCGGTACAGCCTCCATCACCCTGCTACTGCTGCGGTCAATACAGAACAGTGCTGGGGACGGGACCAGCCTGCAGCACCCCGTAGCACCCCCAGACCTCCCGAGCTGGAGCAACCTCCGCTCAGCACCAAGCACTGATGAATTCTGCACTGCTCAGCTTTTCCAAACCCGCTCACACCAGGAACATTCCCAAGCACGCAGGTTTTGGGATGCCTGCTGCTCATCAGGTTATAAAGTTAGCAGTCACCTAAAGCAACCAGGCATCCACCCGCTTTGTTTTGCCATTTTTCCTCAAGAAAATAATCAAGCTTCCCCCAAATTAGATGCAGTGGAAGGAGATGGAAAGCGGGTACTGTCCTTGACATTTCTAAGCACAGCAGATGTACTTAACTGGCTCCTGTTATTTATTTATTTACTTGTGTAGAGAAAATGCTTGTTACTGGAGAAACCCAAATGCTGATAAGATGATGAGAGGTTTGCATGCTGGTTGATGGTCTCACTTTCGCTTATCCTGAGTGAATACAAGTATCTATAACTAAATATTTCCCTTAGGGTACTGATGACTGAGGTATGTTTATTGCATTGAGTGAATTTATATATATAATCAGCACAATAAACATTATTAAATTGTCTGAGTAAAATCAAAGCATGAAACACACAGTCAGTGCTGAATTCTAATGATGCTGAATGCCCATGATTGCATGGGGAAAGGATCTTAACAAGCCTTGATTTGAGCTTTGGCATCCGCCTCACAAATCACACGAAATGTTCTCTCTTTAATAGTGCTGAATATTGATAAATGTCTCTGCACGGCACAACAGGGAAGTTGGTCTCTATTGGCAATCTTTACCAAAGTGTGTTTTTTCCTTCTCTACACTCAAGGGTTTACCCTGAATGATTTAATTATAATTTTCCTTGTGTAAGACAAATTAAAGAGGAGAGTAGGAGTGTCATGCCAAAGCAGATTATTTATCTCCTTAACAGATTGCTGTGCACCAAACCCCAGAGCTGCTGCTGCTGCTACTTACAGAAACTGGGCAAAATGTGGGACAAAAGCATAGATGTAATATACATTTAAAGCCCAAATGAATGAAAGCATTAACCCACTATTTATAGCTGGAATTGTTTCATTTCTGTGAAAGCCATACATGCAGAAACCAAGAGCAGCACCACGATGCTCCCTGGCCCAGAGGATGCCTCCTGCTTTCGAGTGTATTTTTGCTTTTTGAACGTCCCGGGGTGACTCTGGCCACCAACCTCCCGTTTGCTTTTTTGCCGTAAAGAACTTTTTTTGCCACTCAGCTCTGAGCACGGCAGCCCCGCAGTGGGCAGCGTCACCGGTGACACCATCGCTGCGTCCCCGCAGCCTGCGCAGGACCGTGAGGCTGGGCCCGTGGCACGGCGACACGTGGGCATGCCGAGCAGCCAACGACTATTTCTCCTGCTATTTTAAACCCCTTGCTCATAACTAAAATGTGTTTTTACCCAAGATGTTCAGCAGAGTTGCTGCTTGCTGATGACTTTTACGCAGGTGCCTCTGCTGCCGCTGCAGTCAGCCGAGTGCCTCCTGTCTTGCGGGTCTCGAGCATCCTTACAACCTGACCTGTGGGATCAGGAACCCCGTAAAACACAGCCTGCACTACCCCAGTGACGTGTGCCAGAAATGACAGTGATGATAGTAACTGCTACATAACCAACTTGCCTCCTGCAGCCCACTCCTTCTCAAAAGCCCAAGAGGAAGTGGGGGGGGGGGGGGACAGCTTTACAGCACACCCTAAAAGTTAATGTTACCTGTATATGATTATTTATTGCTGCTGGGCAGTCGTTATGATGTGGCTGTGCTTAACTGTTAGGACACTTACAGCTTTTACTATGTGCTTTTTATTGTTGTTTAAATCTAAATAAATAGCTCTTGGTTGTATCAGACCAAGGCTAACAGCCAGTTGCCCAGAAGGTGGAGGAATGAGAGAGGAAGCTGCAACCCAAAAACCTGCCCTGGCCAGCCCAAGCTGCGGACTTGCGCGATGGGAGGTGGAAGGGCTGGCATCTCCCTTGTGAGCCCTTCCGACAGCCCCGACTCGGGACCACCACCCCAAGTCCCCTTGTATTTGCAAGCTCAGTTGTGCTGAACCAGCTGGGTACAAGAACGTACATGAATTTCACTCTAAGTCTAGCAAGGTCAGGTTCCCGCCAGACCCGTGAATTTTTTCTACTCTTAACCTTTGCAATCAAAAACTGACCAAAACTCTGCACATGCCTGGGCTCTCTCTTTTTTAAGCATGCTAAAACATCACCTTCTATGGGCTTTCAAATCTACATCTGACAGTGGAACACAGTTACTCTTTCCTCCCAGCTCACTCACCACCCCGAACGCCCTGCCTGCAGATAAATACCCTTTCAGAAAGGCAGGCAGTGCAACACATCTCAACGAGAGGAGTTTCTGTGTCATATGAAATCCAGGCAGGCACCACAGTGCCTGATGAGACTGCAACAAAACCCTTAAGTGCATCAGTAGGCATTCTTCTGCGTGTAGTCTCCTGCTCTACTTAGGGATAAAGATGTAATTCAATCACTGCAGCAAATGGATGGCGTAAACCTTCACTGTACCAAACAGAGGCAAGATAAAGCAAAGTCTGTAGCTCTCTTATTTGTATTCCTAAATATATCTATTTTTGTATTTTTATATTGTAGAGAACTCAATAGATATGTAAGAAAAATATAATGGCAAGCTTTAACAACACAGCTATCAATTCAGCCGCTGAGGATTTTAAGTTCTCTAACCTATAGAATACTCTCAAACAATACCACAGCACGTTTATGCCTTCCTAATTAATTTATTTGGAACTTTACTAATAAAAACATATGTATCGTCTTGTTTGTAGATCCAAATTGCCTCCAGGCCGCAATTACAGGACTCAAGACACGTGGATTTCCAGTTCTGCTTGACAGTATACATGGAGAAAATTCTTACTTCAGAACAGATTCCTGTATTTCCACTGTGTTTCAAACTAAACAGCAACGGCATACCGTTTCCTCAGTTGGATTGCCATTAGCAGACAGCACATGCCTCAATTCCGTGAAAGAAGATCCATTTCGCTGCATGGGATTTTATTTTATATACTTGGTAAGAAAAACATAGATAAAAAATTTATTGAAAAGTCATAAACCCATCTTGTTCAGCTCTATATGCAGCAAAAAGGGAATTTAATTGTTTAATAAACATCAAATTGTTTTTAGTATCCCATGTAAGTCTTCATGAAAACCATGTCCTTGACACTTACATGCATTATAAATGTATACGCTAATGTTCCCCCACATGTCCTTGCAATGGATATAAAATTATGCCTTACACACATAGCAGTTCTCTCCACAGTGGTGTGCTCCTTTAAAATCTATCTATTCCCAACAGCACTATTTTCTTAATATTAGAAAGATATAAGAGGTATTTATATAGCTTCCCTATCAATCTACTTTCAGACCACCAGAAATATAAACTCTATGGCTTAAAAATTCCATTATCCTCTTTCTAATGAATGAAAGGAGGACGGAAAGACAAAGCCATCAGTTTCCATAAAATCCAGCTTTCACTAGTGTCTGCTATAACATTTCTAGATGGGCAAAGGGACTCTCCTGAATGCAAAGAAGCACTGCCCTCCCCGGTGCACCCACGCTGCTCGTGCGCTCCGGAGACCCTTCTCCTCCTCCTCCGCCGGCAGCAACGCCGAGGCTGCAGCAGGCGCTGGCACCCACGGCCCAAGCTCCTGGGACCGTCTATCTCACCGTAAGCAAAAGTTATGTTGTTAGACACGCCTCAGTGAAATCTGGGGGTGTAAAGAAACAAACCTGCAATAAAGCATCCTTTCGAATAAAGCAGAGCCTGTGCCGAGAAGCACGTCAACAGACAACCCCTGATTTAAGCCATTTCTTTTAACAATGCAAGCCTAGCAACTACAAATTAACTCATACTTTTAAAAGCCAAACAACACCAGTTAGCTAATTTTATCAGCGCTTTAAAAAGCCCACTTTGTTTTAGAGAAACCTGGTGAACTCAAGCCTATCCTGTCTTGTGAAAGCAGGTAAATACAGAGTGAAAAAAGGCAAACGTGTTAGAGGAGGTGGGGCACTGAAATTTGGCAGAAAAACAGGTTGTAAAACAGCCTGTACTGACCAACCGATTTTTTTCCTCACCTCCAGCCTGCAAAGCCAAAGCGCATCAAGAGTAACATCAGCCAGGATGCAAAACTCAAAAAAACCCCCCAAAAAACCAAACAGCTTACGCTCTTCACACTTCCCCCAATACACTTATCCAATGCACTTCTAATTAGCTAATTGTGCCCACATTGATCCAATTAACAAGCCATAAAGATCTGAACAAAAGGATCACATTCTGCCCAGTGGAGGTTCTATTCAACCACGCCAAAATCAGACAGAGCAAGACATGGAGGACAAAACCCAGGCCAAGGCTGTTGGCCAACGCTCCCAACGATTTCGCCATCACTTCGGCACGCTGTTCGGAGATGCTCACGGGTGGAAACCCCACCGGGACCTACCTCTCCCGTTTAGGAGTGTGGACCGATAGCTGTCCGTTAGTTGAGGCGTGCGGGTTGATGATTAAGGAGGTCTTAGATGGCGCGGAGGAGGAGACGCAGGTGGTGGACAGGTCCAGGCTGCTGTGGTTGTTGCTGGCTGCCTCCTCCGCTGTGTGCGAGCTTGTCACTTCCTTCCAGAGCTGCTGCAGTTCTGTTGGAATCATGCCTGAAACAAACAAATTGGATAATTAAATCAATTAACAGCTAATTCGGCCGTCTTCAAACAGTAATTAAATCAAAGAGTCAGTAAACAAAGCCTAGTGTTAGTTTTGTGTGTGTGTGTGTTTTTGCGCATGGGGTTGGTTTTTTTTTTTGTTTTTTTTTTTTTAATAAGTAAAGGCTAATACAGAACACTGCACCCCTCTGCTAAATTTTCCAGTGTGACACCTGCAATACCTATGTAATGCAAAATCGGACGTATGGGGCGGGGGGGGCCACGCAACAGGACACCCACCCCAAAACTCCACATTAATTATTATTATTTTTTGTAATTAAAATTACAGAGGGCTCATTTCCAGAGTCCCTACTCAGGCAGAAATCGCCTCGAGCTCACAGCAAGGCTGACAGCAAAGGTGGCCAAGGGCTACTCAACAGTCAGCCAGGGAAATTTAATATTTTTTTTTTTTAAAGATACTATTTATTTTAGGTTTTTTTTAAGGAAAGTGAATACTTTCTAACCTGTTTTAAGAAGAAAGGAAGGTCTTAGGAAAAAAAAATACTCAGCTTTATTATTATGACAACATGAACCACAATATGACTAATTTTGTGCTTAAGTTTTAAATGATGACAAATAGCTTTGTTATTAAATACAGTTTTTATTAATCACTTTTAGACATAAATTATGAATTCATATTGTCTTCCTGAAATGCTTTTCAAATTTTAACAGTCAAATTGATTATACTATGATTATTTCATTAACACACCTATCTTTCTCATTAATTTTGGTTTCTCGAAGTGCTCACTTAATTGATGGATGTGTCTACTGAAAAACTGTATAACTTTCTATACAAGTAACACTATTATTACTGTCATTTCTTAGATCAATGCTAATGAGCCATTCAAAAGTAAAATGAAAACATAAAATAAGCTTCAACAAATTAAAAAAAAAAATAAATATATTTGTCTTTAAATTGCGCCAAAATGGACACCAGGCTTAGGACATCGCGTCCAATAAATAAGGCAAGTGAAAACTTTGCAAACTCTAGTGGGCCAAAGGAAGGAGCCGCGCGCGTCAGCGTGACACAGGCTCAGACTGAGATCATGCTTTTGGATAAAGCTTATGTTTGTGACATGATCAAACAAGTCAAGTTTCTCTCACTGAAGGCTGTTTCAGTGCTCTTTCAGAGAAGGCCATGGGAAAAAATTAGCAGTTGAGACGCATCGCTGAAATATTCCGGGGAAAAAAACAAAATAAAATAAAAGCCAGGGTCTGTGTATTTTTAAAGAGGTTTCTCATCACTGTGCTTCCAGATCATCATTTGGATGATTGTTCATTGTTTCAGCGTATTGTAGCACTGGAGCTATCCTAAGGAAACCTGCCATTTTCTGAGCGTATAGCAGCAGCTCACACAGGCATGTATCTCACCAAACCTAAGGTACTGAAATAATAATAATAAAAAAAAAAAAAGGCAGTATGCATTATATTCATTTGAAACACATAATAAAAAATGCCAAGGTCTAAATTTAATTTATTTTTGTCATTTAGAATACAATGGATAGATAATCATCTCAACGTGATCAGCCAAACATCTTTACTTTGCTAAACTGTTAAAGATTTTAATTATGCTAGCTTTGGAGAGCACTGGTCTAATGAGGCGATAGACTCCAGAGAATCTAAGTGGTTAAGAACTGTGAAATGAGTCTGATAGGATTTTTTTATATTCACCGTGGATCGTTTGCATATCAAAGAGGAGTAAATTATTGCACGACAGACCAATAACCTTCCCCGCCTTTCCGAGAGTAGCATTAACAAAAACAGTTGGTCTCTGGTAACGGTTCGCTACAAAAAAATGCTAAAATCCTTAAGTATCTGCAATTAATATATATTACGAAAGAGGCTTCAATTTATACATTAAGCGATCAGATATTCTTAGGACACATCCGTTTCTCTAAAGCCACATCATTTTCCTTTCATCCGACCCAAACGCCAATTATATTTTGATGGATTTTGTCCCAAATGAGCATTTAGTTATTAGACATATTCAATTATTACTTGTCCCCTGAAATTAAACCTCTGAGCGAATTAAACAAAGAAAAAGGTCAGTACACAAGCCTATGTCCTGTTTTCCTGTATCGGGGCTATTATTTTCAAACACCTTGCGAAGTGACAGTGTGGGATGTATTTTTAGCTAACACGCTTGACAGGACTGTCTGCGCACTAACAATTACCTGTGAGCACGGCTGACCCTTACACCACTGTTTACTCAATTGAAACAATAGTGAATAGACTTGTCTGTTGGTGATAACATATTGATATGAGACCGTATGAGTCGACACCTATTTTTATTTTCCAGAATAAGCAAATAGGGAAATTTATATCTATAGTTAGGAGTTTTCAGGCAATGGTGTTTTTTTTTTTTTTTTTTTTTTGCCACCACCCCCTTTATCTGGATTTCTGCAGTTTTTTAATTAGAAACAAGCTAGCACCCACTCTCCTCTCCCTGTCCCCCTTTCTCCTCTCCCTTTCCCCTCTCCTCCCGGTCACTTCTGGATCTACTAATGCTTTATCCCAAGGAAAAGCTTGCAAGTGTTACAGCTGTTAAAATATACATACACATAATATTTATACCTCGTTGCACATCCTCTAAAAGTCAAGGGGTTTGGTGTAACTTCCTGTACAAGTGTAACTTGTATTAGCACTAATGACAACTGTACCACATATCGAAAGAAAAATAAAAAACATCCAGTTGTGTGGGGGAAAACATGCTGGAGATAGTAAGGAGGATTTCAGGCTGGGTGATATTAAATAAAAATAAAAATAAAAAGAGTTAACTGTGATGTCACACAGGTCTGCAGACAAACCGTCATTTAAAAATGACCACATCACTGACATAGCTTGATTAATAAAATAAAATTTAAAAAAGCCTCTCTCCTCCTTCCCCAAATTTAGTTCTATTAGCATAATTCTGGAGAGAATTCCTAACTAGCCTGTCAAACTGGGCAGCTGAAAGGTATGCTCATTACTCATCTGGCAAACTGGTTAAATAAAATAATAGAACAAATGGTAAAAGCAAGTCAAATAGATCCACGAACACTCGCAATAAATTATGTAATTTACCATTTAACAGTTTCATTTTAACAGCGAGAGCTAAATTTTAAGTCAGATTCCCAGAACTGCGCTGCAATTACCCGAGATCGCTAGTGCCGGTGCTGCAACTTCGTACGTACCAGTAACGGGATTTAGACCTGAAACTGCCAAATCTACGGGAGCAATCAGGCACCCAGATGTCTCAGTCCTATTATTTTCACTCGCTGGTGATCTGAAGTGTGATTTGCAGTTTCATTTTGCAGATACTAAAGATCTAGCTCTCGCAGCTCAGAACACTGCTGAAACGTGGTTTATTTTTAAACTGCCACTATGTACAGATGTAAAATCTAGATTATAGATGTGTCTAAATACAAAGCAGTAAAGATTACACAAATATAACATTAAAGGACATGCTATTTTGTGTAAGACAATAGGCGAGCACTAAAAACTAAAATGAAACTAAAAATACAGCTTTAAACAATGTATTAGTTCTAAAGACATAACAAAAATATCACTTATGAAGCAGCATTCTCTCCTTAGAAACATTTATTACTATTACAGATACTTAACAATAAAAGCAAAATGCTTTTAACTGAATTCATAGCTACATTTCCTAGAGGGCTGATTTTATTATTTTTTTATGCGCACATTTACAGTATTTGTCTCAGTCTTGCAAACTGTTCTGAAAACAAAAGGGCATGATATATAATTTTTTTTTTTTTTTTTTTTTTAAATAAGAAGTGTCCATTACCAATTATTTTAAACTATAGCCCTGGCTCTTCATTGCATTTTTCAGGACAACTAGTCCCCTTCATTATGAAAGAAAATGTAGGCACAGGTTTAAAAAATGTATGTTGTGGGGACAGTTGACAGATTACTGCTCACGGAACTCAATTTCCCAACCCCAGGTATCACCGGCTCAAAGACAAACAGAGTTGCTCAACCTCTTTGTGTCCTTGTACCTCCATACCCAGGTGACCATGTTCAAGCAAGCAGAAAGTTGATTTAAACCTCATAATGACATCAGTTTTAAGGCATCGTCTCTCTGATACAAAAAAAATAAAATATCGCGCTGTACTGCAACCTGCCTGAATTCTCAAGTTACTCCTTCCTCCCGCCGCCAAGCCCCCGGCTCCAGCCGCCCCCAACGCTCGCAGCTCATTTCCCTGCAAGAACCAGCCCTTTCTGCTCATGTTTACGTCGTCTCCGGCGTGCAAGTCGGCACCCCTTAGGTTTTAAATACGCTTCTTCGCGAGGACTAATAGTTACACTACCCTGCTAACCATATCAATCAATGCCACGACTGCTGAATTACCTACTGGTGTCTCCGATGTGTTACCGCACAGATTACACTTCATGCATCACCACATTCATTTCTTTCACATTACACATGAGCGTGTCTTGTCACTGCCCAATTGCCCTCCTTTGGACAGCTTAACTGATGTACTATACAATGAACCTTACCGAGCAAACTTAATAGTATAGGAGCTGTGGGAAAAATTAGAAAGGTTGAAGCTTGAGTCCGGTGGGTGTGTGGGAACAGCCTGGGATGCTTCCAACAATAAATCTGAAGCGTAATTAACGAACATCACAAGGTTTTGCAAGTATAAATGGCATTTTGCCTACATGCCCTTTTTCCTGGACTCGTTTCACGCCTTCTCCCCATCACACCGCGCACCGACGGTGACTGACCAACTACCGCCCCAGGCCCGACCCTGCACCACCTTCCCGCGCATCGGCCTCCGACTCACGCACGGGACTAGTCTAGACCAGGTGTCCGGCTTTGGGATGCTGGAAAGCTAAACTGAGCCTTGCAGAGGGAGGCGTCAGGTCCCCAAAAGCTTTGCCTCTCAAGACAGGAGTTAGGTGCTCAAATACCTTTGTGGGCCTGGCAAAAATAAGCGTAAATAAACCCCGCCAGCCACATGGCAAAGCAGACTCCAATCCCCAGTTTTGTCTCCCTTTATCACACAAGTTAATATTCACCAGCCACCTCGCTCTCCTTTTGTGGCTACACACAGAAAGGAGGGTGAAGAACGGAAGCAATTTTGTCCCGTCCCCACATTTAACTGAATAGAGCTGAATGTAAACTCATGATATGGTTTAGGATCAGCCCTACGGCTGCTCTGGAGAGCCCAAGTCATTCAACCTGAGCTGACTCAAGTTATTGAGGTGGATGTTTAAATTTATTATGGAGCAAGGGAAGGAAAAGGCGTGATTATTCAGAAATACCAGCATCACAGCTGAAAGACCTGGTCTTCCTTAAGCCATGCCAACTTTGAACAATCTGCCTTAATCAGAGCAGCCAAAGCTCAGGCAAGTCTGTTAAAAAGTCCCAAGGCTTGCAGACAAAGCCAGTTTAAAAAAAAAAATAATAATTTCAAGGAAAAGAGAGAATAAAAACCCCAGGTTATAATCACTGTCAAAGGTATTGTGATTTAAGTAGTTATTGCTTTCAATGTATCAATATCTTTAAAAAACCAAAACCAAACAAATAGGGATTTCAGCAAAGCAGTAACTCTTGCAGAGTGCAGGACTGAATAAAGATGTAGGAGGATCTAATTGTCAATAACGCCATTAAACTTAAACGGAGTTAATCCCAATTTGCCTCAGTGTGGAGGGAGGAATGAAGCTATGATGCACACAGACAGTGAAATGAAGGCCATGTAAATAAGCACAGAGAGGAGACACTGCCACCTCTCCCTCTCAGCTGCAGCAAAGGGCAATCAAATTTCTACCGTTCAGCAACGTGCACATCAGAGCTCCTCTGCGCCCAGCTCCTCGCCAGGCTGGAACCAGAAAGGGCCCAAGTAACACATTTACAAAAGGAAAAGCTGCTCTCACACTACTCTTAGCCATGAACCCAGCACCAAAAATCGATTAAGACGCCTCCTGTGAAGGGTTTCAAGCCCAGATTAGTACAACCAGCAGCTCTGAGTCCGCTAGACAGGCTATTGCTGTGCAAATTGAAGCCGAACTCCAAACCGCCTGCCTCCTGCTAGCCAGAGCATCCACGATTTCACCGTTGCCCTTCTCAAAAAATATCTTTATAATGCCCACCCTGCCTGTCAGGATTTTTCTGTGCTTATTATTTTATGAGCCTATGAGATCTCTCTCTCTCTTACCGAGTGACAATTTTGTGTGCGTGTGCATGCACACCATCGCTTTGCCAGACAGCCGGCAGCTCCCAAACCCCTCACCTACCTTGTGCAAGGGGTTGCAAAGGCAGAGTAGGCTGGCCAGGCTGGATCGTTAGCAGCCCCTGACGCTGCAAAGACAGGAGGTGCTGCTGTTGCAACTGCTGCATCTGTAAGAGTTGCTGCTGAAAGGCCAACTGCTGCGTAGCCACCTGCTGTTGCTGGGGCTGGAAAAGAAAAAAAAAATAAATTAAAAAAAATGTACGTTTGTCAATACAGCGCAAAGCATTAACAGAGGATTTACAGGGCTCCTTGTCTCAACGCACTTCAACTTCCAATCGCAGTCACTTGGCACCAAGGCAAGCTAGTGAGCCCACCGCCCCTTATCAAAGACCCCAAGGCACGGTCAGGTGCTAAAGCTAACCGCAGGGCTGCAGTCGATCCCCACCGCCAGTGGTTACTTTCATCCTGCCTAAATCCCTCCTGCTATCTCAATTAAAAATGTATGCAGCGTTTCTTGGTCCACGCCACCGCGTCACCCTGGTCCCCGTGGTCGTGTTTTACCCCACAAGCGGCTGTATTTCCGTGGTGGGTAAAGCAAACGCTGCTGGCAGCTGTTAAAGTCCTGGGTAATTCTTCGAGGCAAAGAACATGTATAACGTGAGAATCACACCACACGATCACATTGCACTTAGATGTAATGAAAAACAACCCTGCGCTGTGCTCTGTTTGCTCATCATGCAAGGGTTGTCTCAACTATTAAGGCAATACGACTGGCTTAATTTATGGTATTTTATACTTACTCTCTCTTATTCATCCATCAAGCCCCACAATACTTTCTGTTATGTTCGGAATTATACTGTGCTGTATTTAAGGCTGCTACTTCTGCACTTTGAAATTTTTAATTATTCTCACTAGAAAGAAGATGGAGTTGCTTTACTCCACAGGGATGTGAACCTTGAACCTTCGAGGTGTAAAAGAACATGTTGCTTTTTTCACTACTGTACCCGGAGAAGCTTTTAACTACTCTGTTTATCACTTCTGACATAAATAAATGAGAAAAAATCAGACCTTTGAAGAAGAAAAACTTCATCTAATATTGTTAATTAGCCATGACAAACGATGAAATAACATTGTAAATCTTTCATAGAAACAGCCACTAGATTTTAATTACACACATTCATAATTTAGCAAACAACATCTTACTTGAATGTGAGTGTTTAATATGTACAGTACTCCAGGCTTCAGAGTCCTTAATTTTGTTCAGTTAAGGAAGCCTCTAGGTTTTGCTGCCATGCTCATCTTGTATTTTATTTGCTTTGTTCTTTAAAATCCATGAAAGGCTTTGCATTTTGATAAATATCTTTTTATTTATTGTACAATGACAGGAGGAAAACTTTTGTTGTGTAAAACATCAATACATCATGCCAGTGTTTAGCAGTTCCTTGTGCTAGCCAAAAAAAATTAATGTAGATTTCCTTAGTAATTATCTGAGTGATAGAAAGATAATACAGTGCAGTAGTACAATAAATAGAAGGAAATTATCTAATATCCCTAATCTGCTAGGAATCATATCAAGGTGGAGGTCTTATACACATTATGGCTAACAATTATGGAAAGAAAATTAACTCTTACAAAACTACACACTTTCCCAAACAAACCCCAGCCAGATCCCAAGCTTGTTGTCACCCTTCCTTGACACCGAGCCAGAGGACCACTGGCCCCGTTCCCTGCTGGTGTCAACCAGGGGGAAAAAAATCCCGCGGAGCCGCAGGAGCGGGACCAGGGGACATCAGCCAGGGGTTTGGCCTCCACCATGCCCCATCAACCTTAAGACTGCCGCCGCCTGTATTCATTTATCTTATTTCCAGAGAAGATCTAGGACTTTGAGAACACAGTTAAACAAATAGGTGGTTAGATATTCTGAAACTCGGGAGGGTTTTTATTTCTTTGCAACTGCTTGCTCAGACAGATCCAGTTGTTGCAACTATCTGCAACAGTACCAGATGAACGCAAGCCCTGGCAACAGTAATATTAAGAGTTAAAGTAATGTTTGCCTCCATAAATACTCGTTTTCTAAATATACACACACTTAATATATATTTTTATATATAATAAATGGTATTACATAAAAATCAAGTTACAGTAAGCTGTGTTTTACCTATTTGCCATCTGAGTGTAAAGTTAGCATGTTGTTGTGTTGGTTTCTTTTAAAAAAAACCTTTAATTTAAATTGACTGATGCTCATTTGGTTGTCTTCTCAGCTATCCTAAGAAACGCTCTTGAACACTCTCTACTTTGAAAAGCCAGGATATAAAAGTATACAAGGCCCATTGTCCAAGAAAGAA